CCCCAAAACCCCAAAACCCCAAAACCCCTTTTTATTTCTTAATTTTATAAATATGGAAGCTAGTTCGCACCCACAGCTGCAATACAACACTGAGAAAGTTGCAGAGGCCAAGACTGATCACAACATTGACAGACTCGACTATCTTTCATTCTCAGATTCAGAAGCAGCAAACCACTTCGTGTGCTCTAGTTACCACAGGTAATTCCTTTGTGACCCGTAGAGTCGGAGAAACACTCACTGGAAAAATGTGTGTGCTGACACAACAAGACTCAGAGATCAGACTCACCCAGTAACTTCAGCATAACTTTAGACTCAGCGACGAGTTCAAGTTCGGTATTTTCAGTCAGAGTGTACGTCAGATAGCTCCGAACTCGTGTTCAATCAAAGTGGGATGTTCTGATGCTCACTTCAGAGTGTTCACTCTCAGCAACAGTGACGATGGAGTCACTTTGAATCAAGACAAAGACTTGCAGATCAAAGAGTCTGGAGGTGTGTATTTGTGTGACCTGTAGACATGATTCTTAACCACCACGAATCTGAGTTCGGAGAGTATGCTTTTGGTAAGACTTACAATAACTGTAGCAATGGACTCAGGCGACCTCATTGTGTATGACGTCGAGACCGATCAAGAAAAGTTCAGCCAGTCACAGGCTCATGAGTACCAAGCCTGGACTGTGTTCTGTGACCCCTATCAGCAAAGTGAGTGAGGTCCTAACTGTAGACATTGTTTACACTGGTGCTGATGACACGAAGTTCAAAGGCTGGGATCTCAGAGTGTCTGGAGTACCCACTTTTACAAGCAAAGAGCACGAGTATGGTGTCACTTGCATTCGAGACTGGCTGGGTGACTCCCATTACTTGGTCACAGGTAAGTAGTTACTCTGATGTGCAGGCTCCTATGATCAGAAACTCAGACTTTGGTAAGCAATCTTACTGACAAACAGGGACAAAAGAGCACTCAAAGCACCAACAGAGACTCTGGATATCGGGATGTAAATTTGGGATATCAAGTATCACCAAGATTCTGAAAACAAATTCACGCATGTAGGAGTATCGTGTGTGTGGGACGGCATGTACTTTGCTGAAGTCCCTTCAAGTGAGTCACTGTGCACACTCTCATCACTGAAATCATTCAACTATCCAAAAGTAGAAGTGCTCTATTACGCCTTTGACTTCTGCCCCTGTGATTCAGAATCTCAGAAAGTGGTGAACGTGGCTTTCTACGAAAACAATGTAGAGTTGGTCGAATTACAATAGTTCAATATCACAAAATGTTGAAGGGGTTTTGGGGTTTTGGGGTTTTGGGGTTTTGGGGTTTTGGGGTTTTGGGGTTTTGGGG